TATTTGCATGGAGTCTCCGTTGACCGTGGAACCTAAGCATAAATACGGGCTGTTCTGTTTTTGGCTGCACAGAGGGGGTGCGTCGTTGTTGACGAAGAAGTCCTCTTGAAGTGCCGTTTCCTCTCCGAGTGCCGTGGGTCATCCGTAGGTGTTGGGTGCTTGGCATTGAGTTCGTAATTTTATTCGTGAAATTATACCAAAAATTCAAGTATTGATAGCGATTAAATCTTGTGATAAGATTTATGTACAATTCCTTCGCGAGATTGAGAAATTATTTCGTGAGGAATTGTGGGGCTAAACACTGCGTGAGTTATTGTGTGTAATTAGAGCTTGGGAAATACTTAGAGTATTTGAGTGACTCGAATGTGGTTGTAATCTCCGTTGTATCGCTTGATTTATAGTGAAATTTCGTGCTGCTCTCCTCGTGAACGTAGGTCACTACGACCGAACCACGTAAATCTAGTGTTCGATTTATTTTCTTGTTCTGTTAATTTTATTGTTTGATCGCTTGGCTTCCACAACGGTTAGATTAATCTACTCGGTACTCTTGAACTTGGTTGTTTGATCGTTTGTTTAAGTATTCTAGATTCTAATCTATGTTTGATTGAATTTCAATAATTGCAAGTTACACTATTGTGATTGTGGAGCTTGAATTACGAAGTTCTCTACATGCCTAGAATATCTTTGAGAGGTTACTAGTATGTTTTGTTTCATCTTGAATGAGAAAGATGTGAAAAGGGTAAAGCCAGGCATGAGAAGGGTATATTGGTAATTTTTGATAATTGTGAACGAATTTCAAAATTTACAGAAGTGAGGGTGCTGTTAACATGATTATTTTATGAGTTTTAGTATTAATTAGTGAATTATTAAGTAAGATTAATTAGAGGAAATCAAACCGGTTCAAGAAAATGAGTTTAGAAGCCTTAGGGATAAATTCGTAATTTCGTCAAGTTGAAGGACGAATTTGTAAATACTGGAAGTTCTGGGGACTAATTACAGCATGAGGAATCTTATATTGTTAGGTGGTTAAGTTATTTTTTATTAAGTGCTTAATCTAGACAAAGTGTCCAATTATGCAATTTTTGAAAGTTTAGGGGCAAAATTATAATTTCACTAAAATTGAGGACCAATTTGCAGATATTAGATATTCTGAGGACAAGCCATCGAATTAGAATCTTGGGATTATTTTAATGGTTAATTTATTTCGGAAAGAGGACTAAATTGTGATTTTTGAAAGTTCGGGGGCAAAATCGTAATTTTATGAAAAATGAGGACCAATATGCAAATATTGGAAATTCCAGAAGCTGCGATGGAAACAGAACCTTAAGATGTTTTAATGGATGAATTATTTCGAAATTTGACTAAGTTATTAATTTTGGGAGTATAGTGGCAAAATTATAAATTCACAAAGTTTGGGGGATTAATTACTAATATTGATGTTGTAATGAGCTGATCACAGAATATAAAAATTTTATGGTGTTGGTATGGTAAAAAAAAAATGAAGTCTTATACGTTGAAAATAAATAATTGTTTGAATGTCACGGTTTATACCGAAAATATAAACAAATTTTTGTGGCATATGTGATGTTGATATGACTTACACGTGAAGTTGAAATACATTGGATGATAGTTGTGCCATGAATAGCATATGATTTGCAAGTTAAATGATGATGGCTTAGCATGGAAAGAGTGATGATATATGTGCTGAAATACACGCAATTAATTATCATCATTAATTGTATGAGACATTGCAAATGATGAAATATACGTGACGATTGTTATGCTATTATGAAATGTATGTGAACGATGCCATGTGATTAAGACCTTTGCCACGACCTATTCGCCACCAAGCGAATTTCCTTGTATGAGCATATGGATGAGACTCTGGAGTTAACCAGATATTCTACCATATGGAACGATTCTTTACAAGGTTGAGATGATATGAAATCCTACGATGACATGACTCGTGTAGTCATGATATGACATGGCTCTTGTAGTCATGGTATGATGTTAAGAAATGACCATAATCATGCAAATGTACAGTGGTGTATTAATCCTCACTAATGAAGAGGACGCCTGTGATGAATGGGCCGAGGCATGACAAAGGGTATGAATGATTCCGTCTCTCATGAGTTTCGATGGTAACGATGCCTCGTTAGTCAAGATGCCTCGTGAATCAAAAAATGGTCTTGGCCCATTAGTGATGAATATGAACTCACCTGTGTATATCGGTGAGCTACTATGTGTGTAAGGACCTCGGCCCCACCACGACGCTTCCACCCCACCGCCACCAACATGCGCCACTCCTTGTGTAATATTGTCAACGCTTTGACCACAAAGATTTGACTCCCCGCAAACCGCATCCTTCACGGTTTTTCTTTAAACGCGTTACAAAGGGTTAGGGGCCAAGCCTTATAAACTCACCAAGATCTCACTCCCTAAGCAATGTGGGACAAGAGCAATGCAATCCCCTCGCCATCCTCGGGTGCCGCGGAGCCGCTCCTTGTCCGAGCCCTCTCGCGCTCCCGGCGATCACTCCCTGCCCTCGTCGGACTGGGTCGTTACAATGTGGTATCTCCGCATCATGAGATAATATGTCATCTGCTTGCATTTGAATGAATGATCTTATGTAATGCTTTTAATTGTTTCCATTGGTATATCATCATAGTAAAGATAATGCATTTACTTTTGCATTAGTCGAATATGATTATTTTGCACTCACGTTGTTTGTTGGTACCAGGTTGAGTGGTAAGAGGATCACATACCTTAGACTTAGAGATTTTATTTACTGGGCTTCGGCTCACTCATTTATTTTTCAGATATGTAGGATAGATCTCCGTCGTCACCGCTTTTTGGAGCTTCCCTGTATTTTGATTATGATATCAAGACGAGATTATATTAGAATTGTTAGTAGTTTATGTTAAGTGTATTTCCACGTATTAGAATATCGGTGGTGAGTTAGTTGGATCACTGAAGGGTTACGATGGTCCCCTATGTTGCGACAGCGATGGCATATTGATGGATAAGGATGTCGATCCGTAGTTCAGGAGTTCGTGAGCTTTTAATTTAACGCTTCCGAAGATCACTTGGAAGGTTTGGATCAGAGTGTGCAGAGAAAGTGGAGACAGATTTCTATACATGATGTTTTGATGTATATTACTTGAGATTAAATTATTTGTTCAATCGAAGATAAATGAATTATTTATCAGAGAATTAAAGTGGAGTTAATTTATATACTCTTTCGAGATTTAAATTTTATGAAAATTCATATCGTTACATAGGTTTTCAACGTTATAGGTGTGAATTGCTTTTTGAGAAAGGGACAGCTGTGAACCCAAAGGAACTGCAAGGGAAGAGCTATTGATTTGGCGGATTAACAGATGGCAAACTGAATTTTGCTCAGAAAAAGAAGAGAAGAGACAAAATAGAACATGTGGATGCCGACCAAGTTGTTCACCAAAAAACAATACATATTATTTCGAAACTTTGATCTAATATGTAATATCATCCATAAACTTTCAATTTATTCAATGTGCTTCCTGAACTTCAGTCTAATATTCAATATGGTCCCTAAAATTTTAAATATTTTCATATAGTCTAGGGATTATATTGAATATATATCAATAGTTTGGAAATCACATTGAACAAATTAAAAGTTTGACGACACTATGCATTAGGCCAAAATTCAGAGACCTCATTACATAAATTGAAAATTCATAAACGACATTGGACATTGAACCAAAATTTAGAGATAATTTGTGTAACAACTATATGCATGCAAGTATTGTCTACTAACAAGGCAGTAACATTTCAAGAGAATAGAGTAAAAAGTCCTAGAACCCTAGAAAAGTTGCTTTTACTATTTCTCAACAACTTCCAATCTGTCTAAATAGACTTTTTACCTTTTTTTTACCTTTGGGTTAAAACCACGAAAAACTCCAAACTTGTACAATTGTGACAATTTTACCCTAAACTAATTTTTTGATCACCAAAAACCCCAAACTTGTACACCTGTGACAATTTTACCTTGCGTTAGTTTCTGTTAAATTTTACCGTTAAATTATTTTGTTAAATGACACCCGGTAGTTGACGGATATACCAGTTTTGGGTTTTACCCTCCATTTATCACAGGTTTACCAATTTGTGATTTTTTTTTGCATTATCCAATTTAACTGAAATTAACGGAGGGTAAATTTGTCATAAATGTATCAGTTTAGGGTTTTTTGTGGTCAAAAAATTAGTTTGGGGTAAAATTATCACAGGTGTACCAAGGATTTTTGGTGATCAAAAAATTAGTTTTGAATAAATTTGTCATAATTGTACCAGTTTAGGGTTTTTCGTGGTATTAACCATTTACTTTTTGCGTAATTTAAATTTTGTGAATGACGCACTTTAAATGTTTTTTTGCCGAAATATCTAAAACTTTCACAACAAATAATATATTATCACCTAGATTCACATACAATTTATTTCGTAGTTTTCCAAAATTTTGGATAATATTTTAAATTTTGATGGGAATATAGAAAAAAGTATTTTTTCACTTTTTACTTAATCCTAAACAGACAAGGACTAAGTTAACAATTATGAAATAGCAATAGGCTTCGGTAGTGTTATATAAAATAGTTCCTCTTTGAACCTTTTAATTTCTAGGTAAATTTTAAAAACTTAAGTGGAGTAATTAAAATACACTAAATGTTTTCAAAATAGTTATTAATATCTGTTTAGAGTAAAACACGGGCCCATTGGAGCCTCCAATGGGCTGAGGCATGAGAACTGGCCCCTATCTTGGGGTGTACGCCCAGAAAAATATAGTGGCCGGAGGTACTCCTCCGTAAGACAAATATTTCATCTGAACTCTGTAAACATTAAACACAGAAGTATTTCCTACGTGAGGGAAAAAAAAAGAAACTTTCCCCCAACGAGATGGGCAAGGCATGCAGGAATTCTACCCTCTCTTCAGGGAATATCCCCTAGTTTTACCTCCCGGAGTTCAAACGATGTAATTTGAGGACATGCTCGGGTCCAAAATAGTTATTAATATCTGTTTAGAGGAAAACATGTGCCCGATAAAAAATGAAATCCTCGCAATTGTTTCGCACCGGCAAGCCATAAAAGTTTATGCACATGATATAAATCTATAACCCTTTGAGGAGAGCACAATGCATCTCCATATAGACACGAACCCCCTCGTTACGTCCGTAACCCCCTCGTCACTGCCCGTGGGACTCTCACTGCATACGGCTCGCACAAAGGCTCCTAAATCCATCCCGAGCCTTTTCTTCCACCTCTCCTCTCCAATCCTCGATCCGAAGTTCCAAGCGACCCAAATTGTACTCGAAAATGACAGAACAAGCACGGCAACAATTGATCACCAATCTGGCTTCGCTGCACAAAATAGGGGAAAAGTCCAAACACGAAGATCGTGATGACTTTGTATTCATTAATATGATGATTTTGTTAGAGGCATGTTTACATCAATGTCTAATCTACAATCTCCTCGTATCCATCTCTCTCTTTATATATGTTAATAGCCATGGACTAAACTTATAGAGCACCGCGCATCCATCAGATGATGAGGTAACAAAACGGGTATTCAAAAAGAATTCAAATCTTTATAAAGCTCTTGCGTTTCTCCCGCCTTTCTTGCTAATGAACGCACATAATCGGCACGGCAAGGTGTCAAGGCTTGTCGCACGTGTGTCTCCATAATTACCTAAGACGCCGCATCTCCTCCACGCGTGGTATTCAGCGTAAGCCACCGGATCATTCGCGAGGGACTTCACAAAAGTCGCCAATTCCTCCAGGGAGCTGAACTTGTTCCCGTCTATGATCGAATGCGGAGGGACAAAGTCCATGACATTGGGGGCACCAAAATAGATGGGGACCGCCCCGGAATCCAGAGCATAAAATAGCTTCTCCGTCACGTAACTTTCTGTCCAAGTGTTCTCGATTGCAAGAACAAACTTATAATGAGACATGGCGCAGTGCAAATGGTCCCACCATTTTGGAGCGACACTGGCATCGTTGGCACACTCGGGATAGAAAGAAAGCGCCTTGTCAAGACCGCCGACATTATTTAAGCACTTGCCAAATGAATGGTGAGGCAGTAACTTGAGGAGCTTTTTTGCGAGTTCATTCCTTTGAGGAAGGCAACGAGAGGAAGACCAATAAACCAGCGTCTCCTGGGGTGCAAAAACAGGATTTAATACATTTAAAGGATCGTAAGTTAATAGGGAGAAAATCAAGATGAGACTCGAGAGGGATTGACGAGATGATCACTCACATTGTCCTTATAAGAAGACACGTGGTAATTTCGACCATTGTGGAAAAGTGATCCAGCATAGGTTGACTGGACATCGTCCTTTGCATGGTAACTGATGAATATATCTTCTCGGCCAGATCTCCTTCGGCCAGCCTCCAGATCCATGTATACACGTAGTGGATCCCCATTGCGCCTCTGATATGACCATGTTCAGTGAGAGAAGATACTCTCAATCAAAGCAGTAGCAGCATGTAAAACAAATTTCATGGAAGCGGATATCAATCGGGAAAATTAAAGAAATCTATTCATGTACCGGCATTTAAGCTGATAGTGGGCTGTGCCAGTGAAATAATTTAGGTAGAGTGATTATTACCAAAAAGCAAAAAAGATCAAGACAAACAGCAACAAGAATGGCACATGAAGAATCTATAAACTAAGAAGCATGAACCATCCAGCTGACCAGAAATAAAAATGATCTGCCATAGAAAGCAATGAAGCTAAACATGACGATTTCACGAATAACCGTTTCCTATTCCACAACAAATGTCTAGACAGCAGGGCAATTTCTTCTCACCTTTTATTGGGTGACCTAAATATGACAACAACATGGCAAAGTGAAAAGATAGTCGAAGATTTCATGAGAAAAGAGTCGAGAGCAATATAGAAAAACAATTTTCAATAGCTAGAACCGCCTAGTCTCTGTTTCCAGGGTCACATATCAGCATTTCAATCATAAATTTGCACATGCACATATAGATGGATGGGTAGCAGGCACAAAGAGAAGGCTCCATAGTTTTTATGGACAAAAGCAAAGTAAAAAGAGCAAGGACAACCACCGCGTTACATGACAATAGGATACGAATGAGTATTTCCAAGAAAATTGGTACGCTCCAGTTGAGCAAAACTGGAGCTGAACCAAACAAAAACAAACTTCAAGGGACGGCTTCCAGGTGCTTATTTTTCAAGCTTCATTGCATTGTACATGTGTCACACTTTAGTAAAAGAGCCTAGCCAGCAGCATTCTTATTGGAGAGCACCAATAAAAAAAACCAAGTCGATTAAAAAACCTTTATGTTGGACTGCTATGGTTCACAAGTAGCACTCGACCAAAAAAAACAAAAAGCAACTCAATTGGAAACTGAACCAAAGAATAGCTCACAGTGAAGGCAACCTAAACCACCAGGACATCTATCTAGAAGACTGACCAAAGGTGATTTCAAGATCACATACATGGATATTTTAACTTGCCCCCAGGCATGTTGCAATCTCGGACCAAGTTCATATGGCATTACTTTGACAACAGCCAGTAATCGCAAATCCTTTGGTTGAAAACATTCAAGACTCTATGAGTTCAGTAGGTTGCCTCAAGGACCTTTTGCCACTGTGCCTTACAATGCCATACAATTTAAGACCATTCAATGATCCAACCTCTTCAAGCTTTTGGTAATATAAGAATTCCAGACAGCTTCTCTGCAATATCCAAGATTTTGGAAACATTACCAGAAGCAAGAATGTCTAGCATACCTATAACATGTTAGAAGTGGTTGGGACCGAGGACTAGGTAACTGGTTCAACATCTTTTTTGCCAATGATGCAATAATTCTTCACAAGAAGCATATAGGGTTGTTGCTCGACCTAAGGTGCAATCTTCTTTACTTCAAGATGAATATTAACCAGAAAATAATTGTGTTAATTGAGAAGATGCAAACTTCATGAATATTCTAACTGAAATTTTGGGTTCTGCACTTGGTTCTCTTTCCAAAAATTCATTGCCAGTAGACAAGACGATACAAACTAACTAATTTTCTGTTGTTAGGACATGTTTTGTATTGGGATGACATGAATAATCAGCCTCCCTCAGGTGCTGAAGCAATAGGTTTTACCAAAAGGATAGCATGGGAGAGAGTCTTCCATTTATCTAAAGGAAGGGAGGTTGCGCTTTGACAGGCGCTCTCCAGAACGTTCCACTTATAATATTCCTGTCTTCCAATTCAATACCAAATCCTAAAAGGAATTCTGTGAAACCACACCGAAGTGCGAAGTATGTGGCCAGCAGCTTGGCGAGGTTTCCAGGTTAGAATTACTTCAGCTCGTAGACGTTTTTTACCCCACTTAAAACAAAGTGGCATTACCACACCTGCTAGAAATAACACTGTGCTTGGAGGATTCACATTTCAGTCATCTAATACTCTTGTAATGGATAGCTAACTGTCCCAGAAAGTCATGTTCATCCCCAGCAATAGATATTTTTCCAGATGTAGAATCGCGTTGATGAGAATCCTTCCCCAAAAAGATATCGCGCTCTGATTTGATTCTAATTCCGTACTTCCCAGAGCTCTCAGATTCGGTTATAAGAAAACTCGACGCCTTTGTAATTTAGTGTTGATCTGGAATACAGATACATTAAACAGATACAAGATTATGAATTCCATCACTCCAAGAACTTCAATACCATCTTCTCTAATTGACAAAAGAATTGAAATGCAGATATTTGTGGCGCAGGCCGCTCGAAAGATTGCTAGTACGCAGCTAAATTCCGCAGAAGACTCACCTTGAACATGAAATTACAACTTCTCTGTACAACTGAATTAACTGAAACTCACAAATTACAACATTAGATGGACCAAAGTGAAGAAACGTACCAGAAGCGGCGGCGTCGAGGTCTCGAACAGCAAAGCGTCGGGCTTGTCCGCAAGAACCGGAGATTTAGTCCACAAGCAGCTCAACCCACACCGGCACGGATACAAATTGTCCAAATTGTCGGGGATCCAGGTCCACCCTTTGACCAGCACACTGACGTGGCTCAGCCGCAGCTCGCCGCACCCCGATTCGCCATCGCCACCCACTTGCAGGGAAGGCGAAGAAGAGGACGATCCGTTGTTGAACCCGTTCCCCGATCGCCCGCCGTGCCTTTCCCTGAACAGGGCACAACCCACTCGAGAGTCCCACTCCCTGAACGCGCCCACCAAATCGGTGAACGGATCGGGGGCGAGAGGGGCGTCGGGGAGCCGCGGCCCCCGGCGGGGGGCGGAGCGGACGGAGGCGGCGAAGGAAGGGAGTTCGAGGAAGCCCGAGAGGAAGAGGACGAGGAAGGCGAAGCACAGCATGAGGGCGACGGTGTAGGAGTTGATGGGCTTCAATGGCATGGTGGGAGGAGGGAGTTTCGAGATTGTCGTCCCCCCCCTCTCTCTCTCTCTCTCTCTCTCTGTTTTGTAGAGAGAGAAGTTGGAGGAAGGAGATGGTCAATGGGTCGGAGTCGTCGGACACATTGATGTGGGAAAGGTCCGAGGTCTGGCGGCGGTTCTGGAACTGCGATCGCTCGGAACGGCGCCTCAAGTCTTCTTCTACCGTTTTGGACAGGGAGACCGTCGATCTATATAAATATAATAGAAAAATATAAAACTTTAACTCAATGTGTAATTGAATAATTAAATTCTAAATCTTTTAAAAAGTACAATTAAATTCTACACATTTTTTAATCTAGTTCGATTAAATCCTCCTAAATCAGCTAACTTGGCACGCCCAAATACAAAGTGGAGTTCTTTAATATTCATTGCCAGCGAGCCAAATCTTGCGCCAGCAGCGGCAGCAGAACCTCCCCTGGCCTCAGGCGAGGCTTTCGACGCCAAATCTAGCTCACGGGCAGCCACATACGGCCTCGTCGGATGCTCACCGGCCACCCGTTGGTGACATCGCATTAGGTAGGGATATTTCCAAAATTATGATAGTTAAGCGAGGGCAAAGTTGGAAGAAAAAAATTGTTTTGCATTGCGGAAATGCAACATTCCAAAGAACCTCCGGAGCTACCATCGGCTGCGTTTCCCCAAAGTCGAGCAAAAAACAAACCAAACATTATTTGTATTTACCCGAGGGACTTTAGAATCCAAAGCCCATTTGCAATGTTGTACCAAACGGGCGATCTTCTCCTTATATGAAGAATTGTTTTGGCCGCAATCTCCCAAAGCGGGCTGTCACCTAAATACCCCCATCAAGTATTTTCAATTATAGGAGAAGCCGATTTTATAACTCCTACCATTTCTCTTCACAACAAGTTATAATACTTACGAACTTACTAAAATGCTATTGAATGTGTGGTTTGGGAAAGTAAATATCGCCATTATGCCATGCTATTGAATGTGATTTTATTTTTCACCTCGTTGTCCATTCTGCTTTGACTTATTATAAAATTACAACTCATGTTCTACATTTTCATCGATTCAATATGAGAATATGCTTTCAGAAATCTACACAAATTTAGTTTCAACTATTTCTTGCGCAATTACATTCAATAAGTACATCCAAAACAGTCAGCTTTCATTAATAATTTTTATTAATATAAAATATTCCCGTACATTACTGGAACTGTCTCATTTTTATAGCTATGTCGCATAATGCGCAATTTGATGCCTAATGAAAACACATAAAAATTGAACAGATATAAATTACATGCCTGACCTTTCACCCAATGACCTCTACTTTTTAAAATCAAAATACAGGTGTTAGTTTTACTTTTTGGAGAACACTTTGATCGTCACATGGATCCATGTGACGCTAATTACAGAATGTCATTTTTCTTTCAAAAACATCTTTGTCCCAAAATCCTAAATTTTCAGATCCATCTAACACACTCAAAACCAAAACCAACTAAAAGATAAACAATCAAGCACCGCATAAGATGCCGAAATGAGTTTCCAAGGAGGGGCAATTTGGTATCATCATTGTAGGTTTTGCTCGGAGGAAAGGGAGCTTTCGCTCCCGTGAGGGCCTCCGCAACCTGTTCGTTTGTTATACAAGGTCAGCGGATTTCACGAATACGTTTCTTATTTTAACGTGTTGATATCCGCACATTTCGCACCCCCAATACCCCCAATATCTTTATCTTCACCTAGTTTAGATTGAGCTCGAGCCAAACCGAAAAATGCGTATAGCTTCACCTCTTGATTTTTTATTTTATTTTTTTACTTTTCTCAACCTGTTTTAAATCCTTCTTTTTTTTCTCGAATTTTTTTTGAAATTCCAATTTTTGCGAGAAAAATTAAAAGAAAAAAAAAAGGAAGTTACTTTTAATTGTCTTCTCTGAAGACCAGACAATTAAACCCAAACGGGATTCATCAAGGTCCGCATCCTACGTTGAGAGGCCACATTTTGTTCGGTCCGAAACGTTACGATCTTGACAAGGGCCACGCTGTGCCTCTGGGCTTTGGGCTCACTGTTCCGAGGTTTCAAAACTTTAAGGAACTTGTCTGCTGAAGTTTTATGATACAGTCCATTTTCTGTTTCATTCGGTCCTAATTACGGCTTACGGTCGATAAAACATGAAAAATCCTTCCGAGAATATCTGAAATTTCCCCGCTTTTTTATCCTAGTTAGCAAAGCCTCGGAAATCGCGGAATTTTAGGCGCGCCCCGTCAAAGCGGCTCGCCCTGTATGGATCTGAAGCCGGATCGTTATCCGCGTCACCGATACACACAAAGAAGTGATTGAAACTTGATGCTTTTCGGTTCAGATCGAGTGTTAGGTCGCTGGCCTCGGCTCGACTCTACGGATCTCTTGCCGCGGGTTCTTAAATTAGCCGTCGCATGCAACGCGTGTTAGCCTTAACATTAACGTTAAACTCGGTACTTACTGGATTTTCTTTTATTGTTTTGGTCGAAGGAATATTTCGTTCGTTCGTCAAAATCATGCACGGGAGATAACAAAGAAGGCCTCCGAACCAAAGCAAATCCCAAAGAGTTGGAACAAAAAAAAAACAATCAAACAAATCCCAAAAGGCAAACGCCAAAGTGTAGCCTTACAGCTGTAAGCACGCTCTCATCCTCCCAAAAACGGGTCGGTCTCGGTGACAAGCACGTGCATCACATTTCGTGCAGACTGAAATCAGCATTTCCTCGTGGTCTCCACAGCAGATAAGGAAAGATGGCTTTTCCCTGAAAGGTTATGATACGATATGTTGATGATGCATTATGGTAACAAATGAAGATAAGCTGGGCCACGCCCGGAGCCCCGACTGATAACCCGTCACCATCATCAGATCCGATAACCCATCCTCCCTCTTCACGTTTATATTAGGGGTGAGTGGTTCCCGATCCGGTCCGGTCCAATCCAAGAACCAGGAACCGGACCGAGAGGACCGGTTCCCAGTTTCTAGAACCGGGGACTGGACCGGCTAGTCTTGGTAAAGGCAAGAGGGAACTGGAGAAATTATATTAGACTTACTATTTTTTTCAAAAATTTTAAAAAGTAAATAAATATATATATGAAAAAAATTAGAAAAATATATATTTATCGATCCGGTCCGATCCGGTTCCTACCCTAGAACCGGGAACCGGACCTCTCGGAAACCGGTTCCACTTTTAGGAACCGGGAACCAGACTGATATTCCCGAAAACCAGACCAAATCAGTCGGTCTGGTCCTGATTTGGGTGGTCCATCTTGCTCACTCCTAATTTATATAAAAGAAAAAGAAAGAAATCGGATTATTTTCTGGGTTGTCGACATCATTGACCTTACCGATTTTCGCGGGTCGGTTTCGGTCCGATTGGATCGAGGAAACAAAAGGTTTGACCCGAAGCAACGCATGCGTGCTCCTTGCTTCCCCCCTTCGTTCTAAACTTTCGTACCAAATTAATAATAATTAATTAATTAATTATTGTTATTATTATTAACAAAAATAATAATAAGAACAAATCCCCCATCCGGTGCACGATATTGGGGAGCCACCAATGAGAGTTTTGGTCAATATCGTACAAAATGAATTTATATAAAAAAAAATTTGAAGAAGGAAATCCAGGAAAGCACCAGCTGGGAAATCGCGTGGAGCACGCCACGGTTGAGTACAATAGAAACCCAAAAAAGAGGGGAATTTTCCCCTTTTTCGTGCCTTTTTTTTCTTTTAATCTCTCTTCGCTTTCTTTTATTTCCCCCGAATTTCTTTCGCGTTTGCCTCTATTTTTCGCGAAATTATCTAGATACGTCCGAGTCCGTAAATAATACGGATGTATGAAAGATTGGATAGAAACTCGGACGAATGGCTCGTACCAATCTTGACAACGAGGGGGGTGCTTTGTCCAATCCGATGCTTGATGAGGTCGATTTGGGTACGTGAGCAAACGAAAAGAGTACACACCTACTTTACGACCCAGAAGGCAAATACCACCTTTTGCACTTTTCCTTGGCGGTGAAGATCATGCATGCGTGCATTACATTAATTAGTAACATATAGTCAACTAGCTGGAAACCCATGTCCCCCAAAAAAAAAAAATATTTAGCCGGCAACCCGTTTGTATAAACTTTTTTTTTTCTTTTTTTTTGAATGAATAACATTAATGTTTTTATGAATTAATATTCAAATTTTCGAGAGAATTACATCGTAGATAGAAAAGGAAAGAAGGGTGGAAATTATTTCGTCCTAAAGTTTGTGCCACACGAATTCTCCCGTCGCCGCCCGAGGGCGGAGCCGATGTAAATTATTTTTGTCTTGGTAATGTTGATTATTAATTGTTTTCTAAAGAGGGAGTACTGAAATTATAAATTTTTTGTCGGCCGGGAATTTAGGCATGCGGTACCGCCACGCGCATAGATTACCTCACTCTCTGTGTGATGTCTTTGGATCAATTTCGTCTTTCTTTATAAATTGCTAGTTTTTATGGATGCGATAGCGCACGCGATTTGTTACATAAATTGATAATGAAAGCTACGGCTTCAACCATATGAAAAAATTATATTATTAACATCGTTTTCTTTTTTTAATCACTGTATGGATTCTTTTCCGCAAGGCAACCATTTTTTTTTTTTGGTCGAAAGAAAGCAACCATTGAAATGGACATTTTATCACTCTTCACTAATCAAAAGTAAACATTTATTCAAAATGTAGAAATTGAAAATGGGGAAAAGGATGAAGTTTATTATTGTGGTGTAAGGACAATTCAACAATTTCACCCAAAGGTCGATCTTACTTTTTAGGGACAAATGAACAGAAAGTCCTAAAACTTGTCATAAAAAGTGTAATCGAGTCTTAAAACTTTCAAAAAGTGCAATCAAATCCTAAAACCTGTCACGAAAGTACAATTGAGTCCTAAAATTTTCAAAAAGTGTAATTAACGGAACGACTTGATTTGACCAAATTGACAAATTTTATGACTTGATCGCACTATTTAAAAGTTTAAGGACTCAATCGCACTTTCACAACAAGTTTTACGATTAGATCGAACTTTCATGATTAAGTTGTAGGACTTTCAATGCAGATATCCCTAATTTTTATTAGTAGGAAGTTGGTAGGTTAACTTTTCATCCTTTGTTTTTTCATGCCAATTAGCCAAGTTTGATTTTGACCCGGAAGATAATTTCCCCTTAAAATTGCGTTTTCCAAGAAGATGTGCTCATTTTTAATTGGTCAATAGGGACTCGAGAGTGCTCTTCAGCTCAGCTTTGATTTGGGGGCTAATTCCGTAAATTTCGGCTCCTTATTGAGCACATTTTCCACGAGGAATAATAACTAGCCTAACTTTCCTAATTTTTGTGGTTGGGGGCAGATCGCCCGTTTCTTTCTAGGGATCTCGCATTTTGTTTGTGTCCGCAACAGCTCCATATGACAACGATGTTCGATTACCGCGAGCCACCATCCACGTCATTGCCACAGCAGATTAATCTAGGACCCCGGGTCCAGCCTCGATGGACCCCCGACCAAGGCGTCGGGGATCGGAGCACAGACACCGAGATCCCGGGCCCGGTGTTGGGGATCAGAGCTCGGATACCGGAATCCTGCGGTCGGCCTTTATGGACCTGCGCCCGGGTGCCGGGGCATCGAGTGCGGACAATGGGGAGGATATTTTTCCGGAAAATGGAAAACTGTTCACCCATTTTCCCGAGAGAACTGAATGCCCGAAAACTGCGTGAAGCAAACGGACCCTTTTAAAGGATGGTGTTTTTCCACGAGATCCAAACGTGGTTTCGTTCCTACGAATTTTACGAGCAATGCTCCTCTAAACTTTCCAACCCTTATCGACACGTCACGTCGCGTCGCGTCGAGAAAATAAGCTTGCGAAAGCGACGTCACAATTAGAGACCAAATCGGCGCGTTTGGTTTAGGGAAAAAAAAAATTATGAGAAGTGAATTTGCACAAGAAATCTTGGGATGACTTGGACGCCCAATGAACTATCAATTCAATCTGGACCACGAAGGAAGTCCAATTGGGACTTTTATTTCCCCCAAATCTTGTGTCATCCATCATGCTTTATACCCGAATCTCGACTAAATTATTACTAACCTTCGGTTGACTCGTAATCCATGGCCATGAAATTACGAGGATGTGACAATATACGCGAGCATATAAAATTTAGGTAGACATAGACACAAGATACGTGCCCCCCGTGCAAGTTTATGTCGATGCGCGTAGTTTTTCTCGACATAAATAAGTCCCGCAATAAATAGCAATTGGCTTGCCGAGTGGCGTTGTGGGGATAAGGGACGCCACATGGGTCATGACTTTCGTACGGCGCTTACTCGAGTGACATGACTTTTAAAAAAATTGTTCACTTAAGTATTATAGCTTTGGATTGATCGCTCGAGTGCCGCGACTTTTTAATAGCGTCCACCCAGGTCCCGGAAAATCCGACGTAGAACGGCACTTGCGATGTACATCTTTAGAAATCTGTAGCACTTAAGTGATCGATCGACGCTCTAGTGATCGTAAAGAAAAAGTCACGGCACTCGATATGACACTCGGGTGAGCACCGCACGGAAGCTACGGTACTCCAGCGGGTCGAGAAAAAAAAAAGAGGTTACGGCACTCGAAATGAACGTTGTATGAAAATTATGACACTTGCGATATCTTTTTCTCGATCGTGACTTATAGGTATACAGGCCCATTCTCTCCTCCGCTAAGAGGGGGGGGGGGGGGAGGGGGGCCTATTCAACATAATATCACGGGACCACGAGACGAATCCAGCACGGCGTAAATTAAGAGCACGTTCGAAGCGGGATTTTTCGCTTTTTTTTTATCTTTTATTTTTTCAAAAATCTCGCGACGCGCGGCATTTTAATTCTCATAACATTTTCTGGTCAAAGTTAGGAAACAAAAGATTTATAAAAATAAATAAATCAGAAATCGAGGAAGCCTTAAATCTCGGCACCAACCCTTTGCTTCCAAGCCACGATCTGTTAATTAACAAAAGACAATAATATATTTATTTATTTAATTAGAATTTTTTCGACTTCCAACCCTTTGGTTCCGACTTGCAAGCATGATTAAGGAGAGCAAAGAAAGAAAGAAAGAAAGAAAGCCATCTGTTATCTTCTTCGCCGAGGGGAATTTTGGTATGGAAAGAAGCTTCGACTCGATCGATGTTATAACTTGTGATCACGGAGATAAGATTTTTCGAGCCGGACGATGTAAATGCGCGTTACGGCGTCGAATTGATCGAGCGACGTGTTCATTGGACAAGTCGGCTGCTCTGCTACATGCCGGTGGTTAATTTTGAAGTTGGTGTTCATCGTGATGATGTGTGCAGGCAGCGCGAAAAATGCGGATGGCCTTTTATCTTTGGAAATACCATATCACGGTGCGATCCCGCAGAATGCTCCTAATAAGCTTTGTTAAGGGTGAACATCTGCACCGGTTCGGCGATCGATTGGAGTTGGGTCGGCCTATTCTCAAGTGAACTCGTCTGTTTCGAAGTTCCTTATTAAATCTAAATGGGAATTAATTAAATTATGATCCCGAAGCCATGAGTTCGATAAATTACAATCAAGTCAAGATCGGGACAGAATTGCTTTTGATCAAGTTGTTTCTAAATTTGAGCAAATCATTTTTTGTATCAAACCATTATTTTACGGATAATTATTAGATGCTCCGGATCGAAAAGCGTCTTCAAAGAACAATCGCAGTGATTCGACTCACGATACTAACGGGTCATTTCAGATTCGTGCATGGACACGATCCATTCAACGATTCCTTTTTAAATTTCACACGGCGAAACGCGAAGGAATCTTATTCAAAAAACCAAAGGCGCGATTTGAAAAAGCGAAAGTAAAAAGGAAATTAGGGAAAGTAATTTTGACTTTTGGGATATGCTTCATTCCAATTCCAGCTTAAGAAACCTATACTGTACACCAATTCTGACTTTGGGGTAGAATATTTGTGGATAGAATATTCGCCTTTGTCATCGGAATCTGAATTTCCTCTCGATATAATTTTTGGAAACTTTATTCCAGGAATTTATGATTCGGGCTAAAAAACATTCCGTTGTCAAAATTAAAATATCTCGTGCCAGTGTTTTGGATAAATCCAAAACAAAAGGAAACTCCATATTCTTATCCTCCGCTTCTCCACTTTCCAAAAAAAAAAAAAAAGAGGAAAAAAGAAAAAAGAAAAAAGAAAAGGGGGAATGTATATATCTAGTGGTGAATTAATATCGTGGATAGAAATTAAAATGGCCAATATAATTTCCATAAACGGGATGAATTTTTACAATTTTTAGGGAAAATGGCACAAACAGTCTCTAAACTTTGGCCCAATGTACATGTTCAATAGAATCTCTCAACTATATGAAAATGTTCAATGCAGTCATTCTATCAATTCAAGTTCATGGACTACATTGAACATATTTATATAGTCAAAGGACTGTATTGAACAAATTAAACGTTTAGGGAGCACATTTAACATTAGGCTAAGGTTCTGGGATTATATTGAACAAATTAAAAGTTCAAGGACCATATTGCACATTGAGCCAAAGTTCGAGGATCGTGTGTGTCATTATCCCCGATTTTTATTAGGGTTAATACCACGAAAAACCCAAAACTGGTACACCCGTGATAGATTTACTCAAAAAAAATATTTTTGACCACCAAAAAACCTCAAGCCGCTACACATGTGACAAATTTATCCCCCGTTAGTTTTCGTTAAATTTTGCAATCAAATTACTGAGTTGAATGACGCATGGAAGATGACAAGTGGTTTTACCCTCCGTTTGTCATGTTGGTTTGTGGTTTTTCATTATATAAATCAAATTTAACGGAAACCAACGTAGGGTAAATTTATCGCAAATGTACCAATTTAGGATTTTTGGTGGTTGAAAATTTAATGTAGGGTAAATCTGTCACCGGTGTACTAATCTGTGGTTTTTCGCAATATTAATCCTATTTTATTATTTTTCATTCTCTTCACTTACCACCACGAAGGTGACTGCCAAGAAAAGGGATAATGACACAAACAGTCCGTGAACTTTGACCTAATGTGCAATTTGGTCCATAAACTTTTATTTTGTTCAGTATAGTCCCTGAACTTTAGCATAATGTTCAATACTACATTAAACATTTTTATATAGATCAGGGACTGAATTGAACACGTGCCTTAAATTTAGGGGCCAAATTGAACAAATTAAAAGTTCAGGGACCACATCGAACATCATGTTAAAGTTCAGAGACTACATCGAGCAAATCAAAAGTTCAGGGATCAAATTATATATTGAGCTAAAGTTCAGGGACTGTTTGCGTCATTTTTCCCACCAAGAAAACGGGAGGCTTGACCGAAAAAAAAAAAAAAAAACGGGAGGGAATCGGCAAATATACGTAGAGAGTAAAGAGAAGGGTAGTTAGTTACCGGTGACTGGTGAGCACTGCCGTGCCCACCTACCCCCCCCCCCCCCCCCTCCCCAAATAAATTAAACGAATTTAAGAAAATCGATGAAATAAAAAAAAAATTCCGGGGCTTTAAAAAAAAACCCAAGGCGACAGCTTGGCAGCGGGGGAAGTCCCCCAATCTCCAAAGTCAGACTCCCGTCCTTATTATCCAGTGTCCACGTAGGCTCTGCCCCATTTTTATTTTATTTATTTATTTGTTTATTCCTATTTTGCCCCCCTCGTGTCGTTCCCCCCCCCCCCCCCCCTCACACTCCACCGGCTATTGCCGGTACCTTCTCTTACATTAAATTAATTAGAATTTTTTTTTTCATTTAAAAATATCCCCGAAATAAATCAATTTCCGGATCTCTGGCTTTTGCTATAAATAACAGCTCGCGACGCCGTGCCTCTCTTTCCCCTCCTCTGCCTCTCCCTCTTCCTCTCCTTCCCGTTCCCCGATCCCCCCGCCGGAGAAAGCGCCGGCGACCGGCCGGAGAATACCCTCCCTCCGCCGCGCGCTCCCCCCCCTTCCCGCGCCGGCGACGCCCCCTCCCCCTCCGAGGTTCGGGTCCCTGTGCCTCTCTCTCTGGAGTCTCGGGTGCCGGTGTCTGCCGTCGTCGTTTTTTTTTGCTTTGTTGGGGGGGTCTTCATTGGTGTTGCATTAGCGGGCGCGCAGATCTGGTCTTTTGTTGATTAGGTCCACCCGTCCGGTCAAAAGTCTGCGAATTTAGCCTGATCCTTTTGGTGGGTCGATGCGTTTGGCTTCGTTTTCTGGGGGGTGGATCTTGCATTTGACCCCCGCGCGCGCGCTCCCCGTTTCATTGCGTCCTTTGGAGAGCCGGGAATCTGTTTTTGCTTGTACCGTCGTTGAGAATGTAGCGTAGTTTTTCCTCGAAAGTTTGGCGATGTCTTTGCGCGTGGGGGGATGTGAGGATTCAGAATGCGCATGTGGGTTCTTGTTGATGGGCTGTGTCTTTTGAAACTCCTCGTGTTTGACAATGTTTCTAAATAGTAAAAAGAACGTGACCGATTGGTTTGGGAAGCGTAATCAGCAACTAATTGTGGTTAAAAATAGGCTTTGCTATTGTCTTGCACCCCGAAAAGAAAGACTCTATCAGGCATCCTTCTGTTTTGAACTGGTCTTCTGCTGTGATCTTATTCCTTTAGTTGTACTAATCTCTTTTGACCATCAAGCAACCCTGTGAATTTTTATTATTTGTTGGAAGACAGAGTCCTCTTCCACTTTGTGTGGATTGTAAGGAGCGCATAGCAAGGAGAAGGAGGAGAAGACATGGAGGGGACCAAGGAGACCGGACTGCGCAATGTTGGCTCGCATTGCTCGATCAATGAAATGTTCGATGACGATTTCGCCCGTCTTCTTGACAAGCCGAGGCTTAACATCGAGCGGCAGAGATCTTTCGATGAGAGGTCCCTTAGCGAGCTCTCGATTGGGCTCACGAGGGTCGGGTTGGATAACCTGGAGAGCACATATTCGCCTGGGAGAAGGTCGGGGTTTGACACCCCAGCATCATCAGCTCGCAACTCTTTTGAACCTCATCCTATGGTGGCTGATGCCTGGGAGACTCTAAGAAAGTCTCTGGTGTATTACCGTGGTCAACCGGTGGGGACAATGGCAGCTGTTGACCATGCTTCCGAGGAAGTTTTGAACTATGATCAGGTATGTAGGAGTGGACCAAACGACGAAGGCCATTCAGTATTGGGTCAGATTCTACAGTTTGTATGGGATATATCATAAAATAGGATCTGAGATGCTTAAACTATATGCTAAAGTGGACCCATAGAAATTTGTTGGTTAAAAATATTGTGGCTTGTGACATTAGAATTTGATAAAATGTGGAAAAATCCTGATAGCCTTTGGTTGCTAGTAATTCATAGAATCGATTAGAATGATGTAGTGATGGTATCAATAAGGGGTTAGTTAAGAGTCGAGAAAGTGTCTAGATGAGATTTTGATAATCGTGTGCAGTATTTGTTGGATCTGTTCAGAGGTGATTGTGATGAACTTTACTGCCCCCATAACTTGGTTGGTGAGACTGTGAAGTTTAATGCTTTGAAACTTTCCTTTGGTCATTGTGCTTGTATAGGTGTTTGTTCGGGATTTTGTCCCCAGTGCACTGGCTTTTCTAATGAATGGGGAGCCAGATATTGTCAAGAATTTTCTCTTGAAGACTTTACATCTTCAAGGATGGGAGAAAAGAATAGACAGATTCAAGCTTGGGGAAGGGGCAATGCCAGCTAGCTTCAAAGTCTTGCATGATCCTGTTCGGAAAACAGATAGTCTTATTGCAGATTTTGGTGAGAGTGCAATTGGAAGAGTTGCACCTGTTGACTCTGGATTTTGGTGGATTATCCTGCTTCGTGCGTATACAAAGTCCACGGGAGATCTGTCTTTGGCAGAGACGCCAGAGTGTCAGAAGGGGATGAGGCTTATATGTTCTCTTTGCCTGTCTGAGGGTTTTGATACTTTTCCTACTTTACTTTGTGCTGATGGTTGCTCGATGGTTGATCGAAGAATGGTGAGTGAATCTCACTCTAGATTACTATTTTGTGCATTACATGTCATAATGGTAAGTGGATGATAATGTCTATTCTGGCTGTATGTAACTTCACTATCCGTCATTGCCTATCACTCCACCTCTCTGTAATTATGAGTGTAGTGAACCAGTAGCCAATAAGGTATTTTTCACACATTTATTCAAAATTTTAAGTTGGCTAATCAACCTAAATAAACTCTTTCTAGTTTCAATTTGATTGTTGGGATTCTGTCACCTTGTAGATGGGATTTATGGAAGTAAATGAATGGAATCTGTAACCTCCGCCTGATTTGACGAAGCATTACTTAGACTCACAATTATTACCATTTCAGTGATAATTAGCTCTGGTCATCGTAGAATTCCCTCTTCATTTAATTTTGCAAGGAAATTGACGAGGATGATGGACAATTTTAGTCAAACTAGACTTTATCTTCTCTCATACAAGAAGCTTTTTATTTGTTGTCTTTTTTATTTTGTTCTAAGGGTTATGAAACATGTGGTCAAAACAAATATGTTGAAGTGACCTTATCTTTCCTTTAGGTCTTAGTCGAGCGTATTGAGAACTAAGTGATTATGTCACCAGTTGAAAGTTTGTACATGAATGAAACCTAATTTTTCCTTCAGATGGTGCTATCAATGACGTGCTGCTGATTAAAGTGACCATCCACACTTATTGCTTCGTGGAGTACCTTTATTCATTCAGTCCTTTAAGTGTCTCCAATAATCAATTTCATGTAAATTGGATTAAGAATTTAATGTATCTGTCACTTGCTTGGCAGACAGCATCTTTAAAAGCTATAATTTTTCTTTTTTGTGTTTTAACAACTAAGAATTGGATGAGATGATAAATCTTTAACTTCTCTAGTTTTGTTTCGTGCCAAGAGAATGAGATGACACATCTGATTTTCCCGTTCCCTTTACTGGTGGCTAAAATCTTTTTTCCTTTAGTTCTTCGAAAGAACTTGTTAACATTGTTGATGGATGTGTTTTCAGTTTGTCTTTTGACTTTATACTCTTTCCACGTACTGTAGATGGCTTCTACTGGCTTTATATTTTCCTGAAGGTTGGATTTGACATCCTCTGTCGTTGAACTGATTTACAGGGCGTCTATGGCTACCCAATTGAAATTCAGGCACTTTTCTTTATGGCTCTGAGATGTGCTTTGGCAATGCTAAAACATGATGCAGAAGGAAAGGAATGCATCGAGAGAATTGTCAAACGCTTACACGCCTTAAGCTATCACATGCGAAGTTATTTCTGGCTTGACTTCCAACAACTAAATGACATATACCGATATAAAACTGAGGAATATTCCCATACTGCAGTAAATAAGTTTAATGTTATTCCTGATTCAATTCCGGAATGGGTATTTGAATTTATGCCAACGCGTGGTGGTTACTTCATTGGCAATGTCAGTCCTGCAAGGATGGATTTCAGATGGTTTGCTTTGGGTAATTGTGTAGCAATATTGGCATCACTTGCTACTCCGGAGCAATCAATGGCTATTATGGATCTTATAGAAGCTCGCTGGGATGAGTTGGTAGGGGAAATGCCTCTAAAAATAAGCTATCCTGCTCTGGAAGGTCATGAATGGCGGATAGTTACCGGTTGTGATCCTAAAAATACCAGATGGAGTTATCACAATGGAGGATCTTGGCCAGGTTTGTTCCTTTCTTTTCTGATATATTCACTCAAGTTATTCAGATTTATCATTTGGGAAACTTTCTGATATATAGTTAATTGTGTCTATGGTCTTTCCTTTGAAAAAATCTGGTCGTAGTTGGTATTCGACGATTAAGATGAATGGATCTATGAGTGGCTGTTACAGATACGATCACATTCGAGCTTTTGGGAAGGTAGGAGGGGAAGAGGAGGATACGTTTCCTGATAGATCTGTTTTATTAATTGGGCAATTGCTTTTACGAGCTCTGAGTTTGGCAAGGAGCGAGATTAAAAAGGGTTCAGGAAGTAGAATTTGATTGTAAAGCCACAACCTTGGGTGTGCGAGGGATGCTCCTTCCCTCTTCTTTAATTGTGTGTGTGGAAACTGGGTGTCTGATCATTGCGTGGACTTTGAATGTTTTCTTAAGAAGATCTTTACTCATAGCTCTCAGGTTTCACATGAAATGCCTCATGGAGGCAAACCAAAAATTGACTGCAAGCCTAGAGGCACCAGTTACTCGACACAAGATAAATGCTGTATGATACTTAAAAGAGTGACTAAGCAAATGAAACCACATTTCCACCTACTTCCTTTGGCAGCAGGGCAAAGTCAAAGCTAGTGTTGTTGAGATTCAGATAGCTGCGTCATCTTGAACTGGATGATGATGAAATATACTCATATAACTGCTTCAAGCCTGAAGCCTCAGTGATTGACTTTATGCCCACATGCATGCTAGTCATGATATCTATGTGCATGATTCGGTAAGGTTGACTTTTATCACCTGTGCTTCTGATTTCTTCAAAGATAGGTAGGTCTCCAATTAATTGATGAATACGAAAGGGTCCACCATACCTCTTTAAATCCAATTTACTTCCTGCTGTAGCCACTGTTATGTAGGAAGTCCGGGTCTAGTGTACAAACAAGCCAAGGGTCTAGGATTTTTTTTTTCTGAAGAACTTTCGACTGGTTAGTAGACAGCTCCTTTAAATTTGTGTGAAAAGGATGGCTTTAGGATCTCCACAATAAACTGGAGACTGATCATTTCAGTTGTTTATCCTTGAGCATGATTCAATTTTAGGCATTTTAATAGAAGCAGTGATCCAAGTCCCGGTTCTTCTTACAAAATTTTTCCCAAGCTATCTCATTCTTGGCTTGTGTTTCTAACTCAACTCTGTTTTGCCATTACTGTTGCTCCATCATGATCAATGCAGTGCTTCTGTGGTTGTTGACGGCTGCTTGCATCAAGACGGGGCGGCCACAAATTGCGAGACGAATAATTGATCTGGCCGAGACCCGTTTGTTGAAGGACGGCTGGCCAGAATATTATGATGGTAAAACGGGTAGATACGTTGGCAAGCAGGCAAGAAAGTACCAAACATGGTCTATAGCAGGATATTTGGTAGCGAAGATGATGCTGGAGGATCCTTCGCACTTGGGAATGATTTCCCTGGAAGAGGACAAGCAGATGAAGCCAGTGATTAAGAGATCTTCTTCTTGGACTTGCTGAATAAATCCCAACAGTAGAAAAAAGACCAGAGAATCGAAAAGAGAACACAAGTGAGATTAGCTTGTTCTTACGAAGATATTCTTTTGGTGATTTGCATCTTGTAGGTTTGTTTTGAACCCTTCTGAAAGTTTGGTTTTGTGTACTATAGCAACTGCCAAATTGCATCAAGCTTGCTGAATAAAAAGAAAAACATTCTGGTACTTGTGCCGTTTTATAAATGCTTGCCTGCATTATGAGCCGTCCTCTCTTATCTCACGAGTGATTCTCAGTTTTGCTAACATGATGGTAGAACTTTAGGGCAAAATTTTGGAACATCCATGCGCAAAAAGATGCTTTCTTTTACCAGTCACTAGTATGTTCAAGCTGCTGGTGTTCTAGAATTGGTATCCTTGGTATTTTATGTTCGATTAAGTTTGCTATGTTGGTAAATTTCTTTTTTTGTTTTTTTTTTGTGAAGTATTCAGTTAACAAGTGCTTTAGATCTCTTATATGGTCTCTTGTTTTTTCACCTTCAAGTTTTGTCATCAGTTTGATCTGGATAGTTTTGAGAATAGGGGTCACTTATAATTGACTCTGCCATGAGGCTGTCGATCTTTGACAAAATTCGACTTTCATGAACCAAATGTCTGGCGAAACCAAAAGTCATACGAATTAACTCGGAACTTAAAATACTTCATTTTACATATGTTCGGCAACAATTTAAAAACTTACGTTAACATGACTGGATCAGAATCATAAAGTCGAATTACAAAACTAAAACACAACTAGTGAGCTAGACCCGACTAAGTTAGAGTTAGGCGAGCTCAACGTATCTTATGTAGCTGTATAGATACGTTATTAGCCAACTTTGACAGTAGCTTGAACCTTCAATAGATTTCTCTACGTATTGGATCAATCTTCAAGATAGGAAATTTCCTCCAAGATTCAGAACATCACGCATTGACAAAGCAAAGAGATATCCAACATTATTTATACGAAAAGCCCACCTCAACAGAAGGTAATGTGTGTCAGAGAGAGAGAGAGAGAGAGAGTCCATAAGGCTACAGCAGAGTGGTCCGTATAAGACCCGTATAAAGTTTAGGGCGTGTTGAAGAAGATTTGCATTTCATCTGAGTAGGAGTTGACAAACCTTTTGCCACATGAAAAGTTTTGGCTCGTAAACGGGTCATACATGTCGGAACGACATACATACTTTGTCTAATCATTTTCCCCATAGGCAAGTTCTGAGAATGTTGGAGAATGGGATTAATTTTTAAATTTTAAAAAAGAAGAAGAAATTATTCTATTCTGCTCTCCAGACGCATGACCTGAGCAACAACAATCAGCCTATCCTATCCCTTTGCCCCTCGTAGAGATGGAAGAAAAACATGCCTTTCCCAATAATTGAGACATAAATTAATCCCCCCCCCCCCAAAAAAAGAAGTGCTGATGTGAGAAAAAGGGTGTGTGTGATGAGAAATCTGAGGTGGGTTTTTGCTTTCTGGCGACTCAACTTGGGACTTTGTCAAACGTGTTTCGCTAAAAGATAACAAAGTTCACTTGTTTTTTGTTGCTTTTTTTGAAGTGGAGCAAGGTGGACTTGACTGGCCGATTCCCCTGTGTGTAGCCTATATAAGTAGGAGTCTGCTGTGGAAGTTGGCACAAATTTTGTGCAGTATTCTATTGGGGGGCTGGTGATTTGAAAATTTTGGCCCAAATGAAAACAAAAGGCAAAAAGTGAGAAATGGCAAAATTTAGAAAGAAAAAGAAAGGGAGGAGTGGGGCTGGCGTTGGGGATGAGCTGTCTCCGTTCATTTCATTAGATGCTCATCTGAGCTGTCCGGCTTCTGCTTTGAATGTGTTCCATCATTGCCATGTTGCCATGTCCCACCAACTTCTTTCTTTCTCTCTCTCTCTCTCTCTCATGTGATTTTCAATATTCATTTGACTCCTGGATGAATTCTTGTTTGCTTTGGGCGGGTATGCTTTGTATTTACATGTGGTCAATTCTTAAAATTGAAATCGTATAGTCACACCACACGTCTCCTACGATGTTGTATTCATCTCTCTCAAATGGGATCGATTCACATCGACACTGCAAATTTCTAAGCTTAGTTCGCCACGCGTAAGTGCCCGAGACATGGGTGTCCATTTTAGACCGGAAACTCGAAAGCCTGAAGTGTCCGGACCCAATTTTTAATCCGACATTTGATCGGGCTGCGCTGCCGTGACTACCTTTTCTTTTCCGACCAAGTCCAAGCTACCTATCGGGCATGAGATGCTCGGAGCGGCCTGCTCGGCCTGTTTACACCCCCACGGCGCAAGCGGCCGGGCAGGTAAATTGGGCATTACCCACATCACATGCTATTCGGTTCGATGTCGAAGGAGTGTTGCATTGCGCATGGGAAATTAGATTACAAGGTGTTTGATGAAATGTCACGTCGAGGGTGGGACCCTTGTGAACGAGCCAAGTGATGAATAACACGTGCCTCTCCAAACAGGTGCAGGGGAGAGTTGGGAGGGAGTTTTGACTCGTGAGTTTCTGTGACGTAGAAGGGAGGACAGCAGGAGAAATTTGGGATGTGGGGGGAAGGAGTGGCTGTTACCCAATGATCGAGAAGAGAGAGTGGGACCAATCTGCGAGTTAAGAGTGGTAGGGGACCCTGAAGTGAGTGTGAGGGAGGTGAATTTCATATCAGAGCCAGAGCATTTATGAAGGCTGTGTGTGTGCCTGCTGATTATGCAGTACCCTTTTGTCTGCACCCGATTCATTACTACTAGTCACTCCGTGTAAATCTAAACCCAACAACAAAATCATCCTCGCTCCTCCTCGCACCGATCGCGCGCTCAATTTTACGGGTAAACAATAAAAATGGTTCTTGAAATTTTACCCGAAATATAATATGGTATTTTAACTTTAAATTCATTCAACGTGATAACTGGATTTTAGTTCATCGTGTAATGTTATCACCGAACTTTTAATTTATTCAATATAGTATTTGGATTTTTGGTACATGTTCAATTTAAATCCCTAGACCGTACGAAAATGTTCAATATTATCCCTAGACCGTGATACTTATTGAGTTTAAAGCCATATTGGTTAACTTTGCTATTTTACATGGAGAGAACTATGAACTATGAAAAGCAGGCGGAGTTGCGGGACGCCGCTCCTCGGACTTTAGGCCGGATAACTAGCGTGCACCGTGTCCAATCTTAGCAACCGAGGGGGCCTCTGTAGGGCCTACACGAGACTTTCGTGATCGACGACTGTGATCAACTTGAGTCTATATGGATTTCGGGCCTAAGTAAAGATTTTCGTTTTTGCGTGAGTAGTTCTGTATATCTCGTGAAGGATGCCGCGAAACACCTAGATTACAGTGATAGCCACTAAACAATCAATGTTAGTCATTCCTTCGCGCTCTTTTCACTTATGGCATAAAATTCACGCGAACAGGTATTCTCGAACGACCATTTAAGCATGGTTTTCAAAGTACTGAATAGAACGTAATCGGGGTCTCTATCGAAAATAGCACCCAAATCTCAAGATACGACCTAACAAATATATATATGGATATAGCCCAAAAGGAAGTACCCAAGCACAAATCCAATGGGGATAATTTTAGAGAGAGAGAGAGAGAGAGAGAGAGAGAGAGAGGTGGGTAAGACTCAATAAGCGTCATCACGATCGTCATAGGCCCCGTTTGGTTCAGCATTTAGAATGCTCATTTAGGCTCTACAGTCTCTTGGGCAAATGCAAATGATGTTTTGCAACTTTTTTTACTTACTTTGGGGAGATGCAATTGCATTTGGAATGCTTTCTAAGAAACTTTTGGCCGATGCAAGGGTGGAGGTGTATTGAGAAGTTGCATTTTCGGAATGCAACTTGCACTGTTCATCGCGACTGTTCATCTTCCCCAGAGGCAAATTCGGCGGTCGGCGACCGTCGCCTGAGGGCTAGCCCGACCCCGGCAACCACCACCTAGGGGTCGCGCGACCCCGGCGACTGCCGCCTGGGGTCGCCGGACCTCGGGCGTCGCCTGAGTCGCGTGACCCAGGCCAAGCGACACTTGAGGTCACACGACCTCAGGCTGCCTCGCCTGAGGTCAGGCGGCGGTGGCCGGCAACTAGATCTAGCTGTCGGCGGTTGGCCAGCGATCAGATTTGGCCGGCGGCGGTGGCCGGTGGTTAAGCTCCACCGGAACCCTTTTTTTTTTTTTAAATATTAGCAAAAGTCTTTTAGTATAAGTTGATTTTAAAAAAATACTTACCAAACATTACTTATATTTTGAAAAACTCTTTTGGCCTAAAGGTATTTGTATTTTCCCAAAAATATTCCCCAAAATCGAACCAAACATGCCCATAATCAACAACGGGGCGTGGGATCAATCAGCGAGCAGCGAGTGAAGAAAAGGGAATGGAGGGAACAAAAAGTGACGAAAGAGGCCAAAAAAGGGACAAGAAAAAGACCCCAAAATTTTCCATAAAAAAATTTGGGTCATTTTCCTCATCCTTTCTCTCTTTCTTTTCTTTTCTTTTTTGGCTTGTCCTCTCTTCCCGTCGAGTTTTCAACTTTCCACACCCAAAAGTCCAAACCCCTTCCTTCCCTCGCAATCAAATTTACTACTTTCACTGTTTGTACTCTTGGACAGGGCAAGTGCGTGGGAAAAAGAGCTCGGAATGATCTTTGGATAGAGCAAAATCTTGAACCCAATGATGAGAAATTTTTTTTTTCCAAATAAATGCCCGAGCGAAGCAAGGTACAATCGTTAGTTAAAAAACCAAAGAAATTAAAGAAGCCGGCTTAAATTATATAATAGGTATAATGTCGCCGCCACAGTAAAAAGTAAATCACGTCTTCCCGAAGGTTTTCCCTAGTAGCACCGAGTCATGTGCTGGCGAGCTAACTCGATCATCTGAAATGACGGTTTTTGCCGACGAGCGATTTGCGACTCAATTATAGCGAAATAGAAATGACGGGTTATGGTGGGTTCCTGACCGCTCGGCGAGGCGGGGGGGTTCTGATGCGTCGGAAGCTCGGATGATCCGAAGACGGGGCTATGTTACATGAAAACGAGAGGCAATCGTGGCGGATATGAGGAGGGCGTTTTGGCTTCATCCTATTACCTGCAAAAGGAATGCAAATTCCTATAAAATATCCAATACACACACACGCGCGCGAATACATGCACACGTATGTATGTACGAAACGAAGAAATTCGTAATATATTATTTATCCTTCAGGGGGTGGGGTCGGCGCTCCATTTGACAGAGAGAGAGGGGGCCCCCACACCTGCAACCAGTTGGACCCCAACACAACACAGCACAACCCAACCCCCCCACAGCTCACACTCGATTCTCTCTCTCTCTAGCCTCCTCCTCTCCTCCTCCTCCTTCTCCCCCACCTACTCTTCTCTCTCTCTCTCTCTCTCTTACAAACCAGAAGAGGAGAGAAGACAGACAGCAGTCAATCACAAGGAAGAAAAACAAGATCCCCACGCACACTTCCACTGGTCTCTCTCTCTCTCCCTTGGATTTCATTTCAAGCCTCCTTTCTTTTCTTGCGTTTCCCCTCCCCCCTATCGCCCAACCCCCGTCTCCTTAAAAATTTTCAATATTCTCTCTCTCTCTCTCTCTCTCCATCAGACCCCCCCGACCCCCACCCCCACCACAAGGATCTTTTTGCAGAAGAAGAAAAAGTGGTGAAGGAGGCCCCCGGTCAGCAGCATCAGCATCAACAGCAGCTCAGAAGAAGCCGCCCCACACGCCATGTCTCCCAAGAATTGGAGCGAGGGTTGTTCTTGATGACGGTGATGGCGAATTGTGTTTGAATTTTACCCAACAAGGGGAAACGAATGGAGTCCCAGGGCAACGCCAACCAGAGCAGCAGCACTTCGGGCTCCTCCGACCACCACAAGCACGACCCCGCCGCCGCCCCCACCGCTTCCCTCCAGCTGGTCCCTCTCTCTTCCTCCTCCAATTCCGCCGCCGACCCGGGTCACTCTCGCGGGTCAACCCTCCATGGCCCGTTCATGGGCTCCATCTCTATCCAACCCGCCAAGCCCCCGAACCCACCCTCCTCGCTCCCTCCCAACTCCGCCTCCCCTGGCTCCAACCCCGCCGCCACCGCCGCCATTGCCAAGATCGCCAAGCGGCCCACCAAGGACCGCCACACCAAGGTGGACGGCCGCGGCCGACGCATCCGGATGCCCGCCGTCTGCGCCGCCCGCGTCTTCCAGCTCACCCGCGAGCTGGGACACAAGTCCGACGGCGAGACCATCGAGTGGCTCCTCCAGCAGGCCGAGCCCGCCATCATCGCCGCCACCGGGACCGGCACCATCCCCGCCAACTTCTCCACCCTCAACGTCTCCATCCGCAGCAGCGGGTCCACCGTCTCCGCCCCGCCCTCCAAGTCCGCCCCACTCTCCTTCCACGGCGGCCTCAGCCTCTACGGCGACGGCGGCGGCGACGCGGGTAGGCGGCTTCTCGCCGGCGGCGGCGGTGGCGGGGGGCTCGGGTTCCACCAGCAATTCTACACGCAGGTCCTCGGCTCCGACCAGGCCAGCGGCGGCGGCGGCGGCAACAGCGATAATCCCGGGGAGAGCTACATGACGAAGACGTTCAGGGAAGACCTCTTCAAAGAGTCCCCCCACCAGAGCAGCGCCGACGCGGGCTCCCCGGCTTTGCAGGCCGGTAACAAATCCGGAAGGCCCGGAATGCAAGAACAGGAACCCACCTCGGCCCGGACGTCGTCAGGGGTCATGCCGGCTCCCGCCATGTGGGCAGTGGCGCCGGCCACCACGAACGGCGGGAGCACGTTCTGGATGCTGCCAGTGGGAGGCGGGGGAGGGGGAGCCGCAGGGGCTGCGCCGGGGGCGGCGATGCACGAGGCCTCGATGTGGACGTTCCCGACGGGGGCGGGCGGGGCGGCGATGCAGAGGGTGAACTTCCCGGGAGGGGGGAGGCTGACGCCGGTACAGCTAGCGGGGTCGATGATAGTGCAGCAGCCAATCGGACTAGGGATGACGGAGACGACGAGTATGGGGATCATGGGAGGACTAGGAGGCGGATACAGTAGCGGCGGTAGCAATAGCGGGAGGGTCAATCTGGGGATGAATTTGGACCAGCACCACCACCACCACCACAAGCAAGGCCAAGCTCCAGGCGGAGGCGGCGGCGGCGGGGGGAGTGATGGAGAAGATGATCACCGCCATAATCACCCCACTGACTCATGATAACGACGACGACGACGAAGACGATAAAGAATAACAAGTCACGGGTACATAGTAAGTTGTGGAATTGGGTTTCGTTTTGGATATACTTTTGGTTTCTTTTTTCGCTTCTTTTGGTTCCACTGATCAAGCCAAGTGTGCGTGTAATTTTTCATGAGATTTGTCGAGGGTAATCATTCTTGCTCAGAAATTTAGCAGCCATGTGCTACTTTAGCCTAGGGTTATGATGGAATTCTCCTTTGCTTTTTCTCTTTTGGGTCTTTGTTTTCTTGCCCTTTTTTTCTCTCTTCTGGGGGGGGGGGGGGTGGGGGGGTTGTTCCTCATCTCCATCACCATCACCATCATCACCATCTGCTTCCTTTCTCGGGATCTGCTTCCTTTGATGTTTGGTTCAGTGTTCGATAGAGTAGTGTTATCAGATCCAAAAGTGGAATCTGGTTTTGAGCTTCGAGCTCTCCAAGACGGTGCCCAATCATTTGCTCACCAGCTCGAACATGGCCTTAGATTTGCTGGGCTGCGCTGGCTCCTCTCTCTCTCTCTCACAGCAGAGTTTGGCTTTCATTGTTTTGTCATGATTAGAGCAATGATCTCAGATCAGTAAGCATGGTATGGTGTTGTGAATGGGGAGGAAGATGGAGGACAGCGACCGAACGACGTCGTTTTCAGGTTGAGAGAGAGGTTTAACGAGTGCAGATTATTTATTAGCTGGCAAATTGGAACCTGGCTTCTCTTGCAGGAAAGATGAGGGGGGGAGAGAGAGATAGCGAAAGCACTACGAAACTTTGGTACATATTCTGATGATGAATCCATCGCATTTTAGCATTGACATCTACATTATTATTCTTCGCGTAATCCGGTTCCGTTCTGACCAAAAGAAAACAAATCCGGTTCCGTTCGCACGACCGAACGAGACCTTAGGACTCCGACTCCCGTCCCGTCCCTTACTCCTCCCTTGTCACCGGATTGGGAAGGTCGGATGTGTGCCTAAAGTTTAGCTTTTTATGTTGCGACGCACGATAATGATTTTTTCGGAAAGCTTGCATTAAATGGTCCTTAATTTGGCATGCTAACTTTGATTGAGCAATCCAAATTGTTTTGCCTCTCTCGTATTTGGAAGTCCTCGTATAAAGTAATTTTCATTTGTTGTGTAATATATAGAATCCATCGCTTAAAAGTAAAGACGGGAGATTATATGTATAAGAAATTATCCGGATCAATCCGATTGCATGCTCTAATGTTCTAATAGGGTCGTATCGTGTTTAAAAAAAATTTACCAATACCCTCATTGTACATCGTCATCAATCTTGTCTAACTCATTATCTATGAAAGAATTCTTTCGGTCTTTTTCTTAAATAACTTCTCTCCGTTCCTACTTTTGTATTAACTTTGAGATTAAGGTATATGCAGTCTCTCATATCTTGATCGAAATGTCGACACTGTCGCAATTCAATTGAGTATATAAAATTCTCGAAAAGCTTTTTAGATGGGTTGATGGAGTGCTTAATACATCCGACAACGTACTTATAGGTTTTTCAGAATCAAATGTCTAATGGAACGAGTAAACAAGAATCGATGGCATGGCATGGTATTCCACGAGATTCGATAATACGACGAAAAGATTAATATATTTCTTTCTATCCTGCTAGCTATTATCGTCATCGGAAGTTGATGTGAAAGAAGTAATTATATTATGTGAAAATATAAACATAGTCGCTTAAGTAATAGAGCTTCGTTTAATGTTAAAATTGATAGCTAATTAGTTAGGAAAAGTCTAAAAAGTCATAAACCTATTATACGGAGGCCAGTTCAGTTATAAACCTTCTAATTGTGTCAATTTAGTCCTAAATATTTCGACGATTTGCCAATTTAGTCATAAATCATTTAATTTTTGTGTCAATTTAGTTCTAAACCTTCCGATAATTTACTAATTTAGTCCTAAACCTTTTGACGATTTGCCAATTTAGTCATTTTGGCCAAATATTGAAATAATAGGTTTATGACTAAATTGACAAATTTTCACTAAAATGACACAAAGAAAGGTTTGAGACTAAATTGACAAATCGTCGAAAGGTTTATGATTAAATTTATACAATCGAAATATTTAAAACTGAATTGACTGCTGTACATTAGATTTAGGACTTTTCGGATGACTATCTCCTAATTAGTCATCCAATAATTGCTTGCGATTGCAATGACACAATAACGGGTGAACATTCGAGATTAAATCTGACCAACAAAAGAAAAACATTCGAGATTAAGAAAATTGCTTTTCGCAAAAAATAAAAACGAAACATAATTATTTGTAAAATGACAGTTAATTTTGCCGAATGCTCGACAGCGGTAACGGATTGGGCCATCACTTCCCCAAGTGCAGAGGCTTTTATGATTGGTCGTGAAGATTCTCATTGGGCGTCACGAGCCACGTTATCAATTTCTTTGTCAACTTTTTTTTATCTATTTATTTATTGAAAATTAATTGAACTCCCTGCCCTGCTATAGTCCCAAATTTAAATTCTTTGCATCCAAAATAAGCACAAAAAATAGAATAAAAAATCAGGCGAGGTTGCCTCGCCTGGGTGGGCGAGATGGCCAGCCTAGGCCCGGGTGTCCCTCACCCGAGGGCGGCCCTCGCCTGAGGCTAGCAATGTTTGTTGCCCATCAATAAGGTCCTGTGGAGGGAAAGAGGAAAAAAGAAAGAAGAAAAAGAAAAGAGAAAAAGAAAAAAAAAAGAGAAAAAGAGAATAAAAGAAAAAAGAAAAATAAAATATTATTAAAAGTTATCCACATCAACAGCTGCCGTGTACGTCAAATTATTCGTGTCCACGTCAGTGATTTCCGACTGAAATTGGCCGAATATACTCAGTTGGCAAAACGTGAAATAGTTTGAGATTCAGTTAGCAAAATTGAAATGTTTAAAACTGAATTGGAGAAAATGCAATAAGTTTCGGGCTTTTTGGATAATTTTTCCATTCTTTTATAATGTGCAATGTTATTTGTGAAATTGTGCAAACACAAAATGACGATAGGGTGTTGGCATGTTAGAAGCTCTTGATATTCCATACCGATTTTCACCGGTTGGAGTAGTTATATTTGATCACCAATCAGCGGCCAATCAATGTCTGATTAGTCGGGAGGGCAATTTAATTTGGGTTTGGACAAGGATGTTCACTTATCAAGCCGGTTTCAACTAGATGTTAGACCCGACCATCAGGATCGGGATTGGGATCGGTCCTTCTTAGACTCATTCGATGATCACCTTCGGTGACAAAGTGATGATCCCCATTGTACCGTCCACGGTCGCACAAGTCCGTATCCCTAAGACTGTCATGATTTAATTAAACAAGTACGTATTTGCTAACCTTTGATGCAGTATAACACATTTTCTTCAGAAGGATTGTCACCGCAATCTACACTAAACCCATTGTATACATATACTCTCATAATTTTTCAAGTAAAATGACATAAATGATCCGTGGACTTTGATTCAAAGTGTAATGTTGTTCTTAAATTTTTAATTTGTTCAATGTGGTCCATGAACTTTGGTTCAACGTCTAATGTTGTCCTCAAAACTTTTAATTTGTTCAATATGGTCCCCGAATGTTGGTCCCATGTTTAATGCGGTTCATAAACTTTTAAGCATTTTCATATGGTCTAGGGTTCACATTAAACATTTACCAATAGTTTAAAGACCACACTGAACATATTAGAATTCTAGATTCGACATTGCATATTGAACCAAAGTTCAACGAGTATATTGCACGGATTAAAAGTTCATGAACGAAATTGTACATTCAACCAAAGTTCAAGGACCATTTGTACTCTTAGGGTGCATTTGATAACTTGCCAAATAGTAACTGATTCTATTTTTTTGTTTCCGAGAATAAAAAAAGAACAGAAATCCGTTTAGTAAATTTTTTGTTCCCGGACACAAATTTGTTTCCAGAATCAGTTTTGGAACAGAATCAAGAAGCAAAAAAAAGTTGCTTCTTGATTCTAGGAATAAGAATTAGAAATGGAAAAGAAATCTTCTTCTTCTTCTTCTTAGTTTTCTTCCTAGCCTGCGGCCGGTCGCTGGCGAGGGCCACCATCGTCGGATCTGGCGAGGGCGGCGGCGAGGGTCCAACCCTAGCCAGATCCGGCGAGGGCGGCAGTGAGGGCAGCAATGCCCTGGCGGGCCCTGGCCTGTGGTCAATCGTCGGCGCCGGCGACCTGGACATGGGCTAAGGAAGGGGAAGAAGAAGAAAAAAAGGAAAAATAAAAAGAAAGAAATATAAAAAAATTCAAAATATTATTAATAAAAAGAAATTTCGTGCAGTTACCAAACGCATTTATATTTTTTTCTATTCTAAGAATAGAAATTTTGGACAGTTACCAAATGCTTTCAAATGTTTATAAATTGTTTCCTGGAATAGAATAAAAAAGAATCATTTCTGAGTAGAAATTATTTTCGGGAACAGAATGGTTACCAATCGCACTTCTATATTAATTTTTTCGCACGAATTTTTTTAATTCTCTATACAGGAATCGAGCTTATCACATTAACTTTGGTAATTATGACAATCCGCACTTTTATTTTGTATCCCAAGAATCAGTAACGCACGAAGAAAGTTGCAAAAAGATGGATCATTTAGGGTGCACATGACAACCATTCTGTGCCCGGGAACTATTTCTGAACAGAAATGATTTTTTTTTATTCTGTGCCCGGAAACAATTTATGTGCATTTGAAGGCGTTTGGTAAACTGTCCAAAATTTCTATTCCTGGAATAGAAAAGAACAGAAATGCGTTTGATAACTTCACACAAATTTCTTTTTATTAATAATAATTTGAATTGTTTAATTTTTTTTTCTTTCTACCCAGGCCATGGCCGGTCGCCGGCGACCGGCCACAGCCCAGGGCCGGCGAGGGCGTCACGACCCTCGACGGCCACCGGCGGATTCGAGGGTCCCCCCTGTCGGCGAGGGCGAGGGCTGGACCCTCGCCGCCTGGGCGAGGCGGCTCGCCGTCGGTCATGGCGAGGTCGGCCTCGCCGATCGGCGAGGCCGAGCCCCCGCGACCCCGGCGGCCGACCTCGCCGTGGTCGCGACGGCGAGGCTCGGCCTCGCCGGATCCGGGCAAGGCCGACCTCACCGTCGCGACCCACGGCGATCCGGGCGAGGCCGAGCCTCGCCGTCGCGACCCACGGCAAGGTCGGCCGCCGTGGGTCGCGACGGCGAGGCTCGGCCTTGCCAACTGGGCGAGGCCGTCGCGACCCACCTGGCGAGGTCGGCCTCGCCCGGATCCGGCGAGGCCGAGCCTCGCCGTCGCGACCCACGTTGAGGTCGGCCGCCATGGGTCGCGACGGTGAGGCTCGGCCTCGCCGGGCGAGGCCGTCATGACCCACGGCGAGGCCGAGCCTCGCCGGGCGAGGCCGAGCCTCGCCGTCGCGCACGGCAAGGTCGGCCGCCGTGGGTCGCGACGGCGAGGCTCGGTCTCGCCAAATCCGGGCGAGGCCGTCGCGACCCACGGCGAGGCTCGGACTCGCCAGATCTGGGCGAGGCCGACCTCACCATGATCGACGGCGAGCCGCCTTGCCCGCGGCGAGGGTCCGCCTCGCCTCGCCGCAGGGGGACCCGCCGCTGGCGGCCGGCGAGGGCCGTGACGCCCTCGCTGCCTGGGCTGGGCACTGGCTGCGCCGGCGACCGGCCACAACCCAAGAAGAGCAACACAAAAAGAAGAAAAGAAAAAAAAAAAAAAAGGAAAAAAACCGATTCTCAAAATTGTGTCGAGAAACAAGAAGAACTTTTTTTACTTTTATTTCTCTTCCAAAACCTGCTTTCTAGACAAATATTTGCAAAAATGTGCCCGGGAACAAAAAGTTTACCAAACGCATTTCTGTTCCCAAACTATTTCTAGGAATAAAAGAACAGAAATTTTCACTGTTTGGCACGTTACGAAATGGGCCCTTAACCTGACCTAGAATCTGTGCAAAAAAAAAAAACCTGACCTAGAATGACACTGACGATGAGCCATCTGCTATATAATTATACAGATAATGATTGATCATAAAGGAAGGGCAAGCAGGCAATTAAAGCTACAAAACAAAAAAAATGACTAAAATATTAACCAAAAAGCATATTAAAGCTGGGAAAACATGATGCGCCCAAGTTGGACTACCTACAATTCTTGACCTAGTGAGATCGGCTGCTCCCTTGTGCTTATCCGAAAGTATAATCACAACCGACAAATCAAGAAGCTTCTAAACTAATATATTCTAGGGCCTGTTTGATTTTGAACAAGTTTTTCCAAATCTTCATTTGTTGGTGAGAAAAATCATTGTTATTTTCCACATCTTTGAAATCCTATTTGGGAAGTAAATATGGCGTAAAATGGCGTCTCGAGATTGAAAATTGAGAGAGCATATTTATAATTTATTGTAATCGCAACATTATGAAGTGCCGGATTATAGAAGAGTTCATTTTCCGTCGCGACTTTAAACTTTTCAAATGATTTTTCTTGTATTTATTATGAGACGTCGAGTACGAGCTACTTGTTTGAAAACAACACAGGTTTAGAAATGAGTGATAAGGATGGAGAATAAAATAGAAAAAGCAAGTAGATATATGAATTTTAAACTAAGGTCTGAATTTGACAGCTTTCGGATGAGAAAATTTTACCATGGTAACCACACTCACCTTTGAGATTTAAAGGTTTAAATTACGGTACATGAAAAAATTATAATTAGCTGAGTGTGGTTACCATGCATTATTTCACTTTGAAGTGCCATCAAATGCGTTATTTTTCTTATAAACTATTTACTTTTATGATTCCTTATAATTTTGGGTGGCCACATTCCTGTTAATCAAAGGGGCTTTAACAAATCAGTTTAATAGAATAGTCTTAGCATGTCTAGCAATACACTAGTCAATTCCGCATTCTTGGAATGTACTGTTCCTGAGGTGTATTTTTCAGAGATGTTGACTTGAGATTAGCTCAAGCCAGGTCAACAGGATATGAAATAGCTGTAACTTGTTGCCGAGGTTGGTCCGTCTGGCCTTTCTTTGAGAAATGAAGCTGCCAAGTACTCCAAAGAAGAAGATGAAACCAGAACGGTGCCTTGACTCATTACTATTACTCACTCCCTACATCCAGAAACTGTGAACTACTCAGACGTCACGTGGGTAATATAGTTAACGAGAGAGAGAGAGAGAGAGAGAGAGAGAGAGAGATTATACACATTCCGCGCGACAAACAGATAGACTGATCCTCTCCAGGTCCATTGGAGGACGGGCTTCAGACATCCCTACATTGCACGCTTGGTTGAGTTTATGCCGTCGAATCACATAAAAATCGATTCAGAGACAGCGAAGAGAGAACGAAATCTTGTCAGCAGTATAAACAGAACCAAGCTCCTCCAAGACAAACTGAAGTCCACTTTGAGCGGTTAACTCTAGGTGGATCCTTCATCATCTTCGTGTCCAACAAAAAGTTAACTCGTGCTTTAACCAAAACAACCTTCCTTTTCTTTAGAGTCCTAATAACTTCGACCTGTCTCCGGTTAATGTGGATATCGACGGGGGATGGATTTTCAGTTCCCCATCCCCAATAATAGCAGATCGTCGAAAACTTGCCCATGTTAACTGTCCCTCTAAACGAGGGAGTGCAATCCTTGTCTACTGTCGGAAACCAACTTAGGCCAGTTTGAAGTATCATAAAAGCATAAAGGAAAGAACGAAACGGATGGGCAACCATAAAATTAATAGAATCTGGCCAAAGAAAGCACGGATTGACCAAACGTTTTGGGCATAGACATTGATAGTCATCTTGATTAATTCCCGCAAGTGAAACCGAAGGTGCGGTTAGCACTCGGCTTCGCTTCAGGTTTTGGGCAAGAAGTCCATGACTAAAACTGGACAAGGTAGCCTTTAAAATGTCTCAAGAGAAGTACAATTAGCTAACATGAAGTGAGGTAAAATTAAAAAGTCCTATCAAGCAAGTCTTAGTATGTTAACAAGAAGCATGAATCATGATTCTATTTGACATACCACCGACAAAATGCTCCACACTTTTTAGTTTTTTAAATTCGACAAGTCTTTACATGCATCCCCTGTATATCCAGAGGCCCGTATCACGGGCACATTTCATTCGGCACAACTTTGAGAGTCAAGCACGTACAAGAAACAATTGGAACAGCTATTCTATCTTTCCCCAGACACATGAGCAGAAAACAAATATAAGCAGATATTACTCAGGAAGAGTATGTACTGAAATATCAGTACCATGGGAAAATCAAAGAACTTATTCAAGGTCTTCCAACTGACGAGATGATCAAAGCTTATAGCAACAAAAAGACACAACATTCAGAAGGAAAACGACTAAAACCATACCAGCAGGCAAAGGCCTACTGTCTTGGGCATTGGGCAAAGAAGTCATTATTGCTGCGATGAGGCTCTGCTAAGAATTAACCGGAAGCAGTCTTTTTCTGCTGAAAAATGACAGCATAGACGGGCACACCGACGCCAATGCTGAAGGCAGTAATAACAGCAAGAGACATCTTCAGCGCTTGATGTTTCATCCTGTCCAAGTTGTACATATGCTTTGCATGAAGGTAGAAAGGCTCGTCATGGCCATGTGCATGCCCACCTCCCATCCTTTTCACCCCAGTTGAGTGGATTTCTCTGCTGACTGTCAAAAAAGGGAATGCAACAATCACAATGGCTAGAAATTCCAAGATGATCTTGATGATGGATGCCATCATTTATGGTAACTGTTGTGTTCTGAACACTGAGAAAATGAGATTTCTTCTCAAGTTGAAATATAAAGCAAGGACATAATTAGATCGACCAAGTACACTACCCACCATGTTTATAAAGACAGACAAATGAGATTTGTTTTCAAGTTAACGATCATCCAAGAATCTATCTTGAAACTCTGAGGCCCAAGCTCAGCCGAATGATTGTTCTGACCAACAATGGAATCATGAGTTAAAGCTGCAGTGGTCATGATTCCCCATTGGCTCACCAATCCAACCCTCTCTCGCTCCCCACCCGACATATAGATGCATTAAGCAAGCTCTCCACTAAAATAACATACATCGGGCACGTGTAACTGAGATTAAAACAGCTGAGAAGAAACTGGAAAAGCTCTATGCATATTTTCCACATACAAAGGAACTTCTGAATACTGTCCCACGACATCTAGTAGCAGTTAGCTGGACCAAAATGTATTTTAGACCAGCGATAGCAAGGATTAAAACCCTGCGCATACATATAAAGCATCAAATAGCCGTCAACCCTGACGAGCTTTTTGATTCAAAAGAACTAGGATAAAAGAAATCAAGCATGATTCAGCACGTCACAGGTACATCCAAATATAACCGAAAATATGGGTAAAGTCAAAGTACTAATTTTGCAAAGTATTGTGTACTCAGGGCAAGTGAGGGAACACAAAATGTACTGAAAAGGAGTAGCATCCCAGCAATTGAATGACCATGTCGATCAATCTACACTCGATTAGACGAGGGTGTAAGAGACCAAAATTTGCCAGAATGTACACATTTCTCCATCAAATATGAATTAAAGGAAGATGTCAAATGTTTACATGTCATAGAACTCCCTGCAATCTACACCCCCGCTTTTACATAAGTCAAAAACCAAAATTTGCCAAAATGTCAATGCTCATCATCAGCATACAAAGTTAGCAAAAGTAAAGTAAGTTTCGAGGATCATCAATGTAATAGGTTTTGCTTTACCTATCCAAATTTCAACAATCAATCAGAATCAGCCCACATCCTATGCACACGAAAGCTCCATGCCACCCTATAAAAAGTTTCCCACGAACCATAATTTCTCTTCAAAAGATTGCAAAATCTAAGGGGCATGAGGTTCTAAATACGCCACCATACCATCAATAACCTAACAATAAAACTGAATATACCCAAAACCCTAAGTGATCCAAACTCCATGTTCTAGCATAACCCCACAATCTTCAAGAACGATTAAGCTCTCTTCACTTTCGAAGCACAAACGTCACGGCCAAAGTGAAACCACGAGAGGCCACAATCATACACAGAAAGAAACGAACTTTTTTCTAGCAAAGATCTCTCCATCTCTCTTCCTCGTGCGAATCTCGGGAACCGGTCAAAAATCACAAAATCTAAGAGCTCGGCCATAAAAAATCCCATCGTCCGATTCATTCTTCAGAGCGAGAAAAGCACGAAAACAGGACTAAAGAAAGCTCGGAGGGAGAGAGAGCGATTCGGAGGGTCAATGGCGGACCTGACTTGGGGAGAAGCGAGGCTGCAGAAGCAGAAGAAGAAGAAGCTAGAAGCTGCTTCGATGCGGATCTCAAGCTATTGCTCAACGCCATAATCACTCTCTCGCAAAGCGATCAACCGCCGCCGGTCTCAGATAGGCCTCCGTTCGGCTTCGTCTCGCTCGCTCTCTCTCTCTGCGTCTCTTCGTCTCTTCTACGCTCTTCCTCGCGACGGCTTCTGCATAGAAATCTGGCGAAAATGGAACACCTTTCCGGTCGGTTTCTGGATCCGAAAGCCCGGTGCTAAATGGGTCGGGCCCGAAGGCTCTCCAATTTGGATAAAAAGATGATTTTTACGAGCCTGGCCCATTTTCACATCCCATTTCTCTCTCCTTCCCTCTGAGAATTTCGACCGTCTTCTCCAGTTTTTGCCGCCATTCTCACTCTCTCTCTCTCTCTTCCGGCGTTCTGGGTCTGACTGACAGTCCAGTGTCATGGCTTCGACCGCTCCTCACATTGTCATCGACGACGAGGAAGACGACGTGCGTCCCTTCTCTTTTTGATCTTCACGAGCTCTTAATACCGCGTGTCGCGTGCCTTCTCCTCGTTCAGCACCCGACTGATTGACCTTCCCCTCTCTCTCTCTCGTTCTCTCTAGGATTTCGACTGGGATGCGGCTGTCAGAGAGATCGACGCGGCCTGCGAGAGCTCGAGGCCGCCCGCCGCTTCGGACCCGTTTAAGACCCCACGCGTGGCGCTCGCCCCTTTGGGCAATGCGGAGCTTCTTCGCGTGTTTGGCAAGAAGAGCAATGGGGTTGCTCGACAATCGACGCTCGATAGCTTCGTAGGGAGATCCTTGGTGAGAACTGAACCGGGCAATTTGGCGATTCGGGGCGGGGAGCAAGCGCGGGTCGACTGTGATGATGCAGCGAGCTGCGTCGAAATCGATCCCGAGGCGGCCAAAACTTGGATATATCCAGGTTCCGATTCGGTTAAACCAAAGGCTTCTTTGCTCTGTTCATTTAATTTCCTTGGTGTCGGGGCAGGGAATTGTTGATTTTCGGGTCATCAAGATTATGATGTTTTGGGAAACGGCATGTTTCATTCTATTGTTGTTTCATTTTTTATGGTTTGAGCTTGCAGCTTGGCATACTGTCTTGGTAGCGCCTACCGGGGCACATTTCTTTGCTATTTACAGGGCATTGGTCGTGTATTTCCTTAAACGACATTATGTGCCTCTCCAATTCACTATTCTTCATTAGTTGAAATATTGAAAAAGATCGAGACTTACATTGATGTGGTAGAATGCTAAATTGATAGAATGTGCTTTCACCGATGAAGTTTAGTATTGAGATTCTCTTTTTGCCTTTAATTTGCCTTCAATGTGTTGGTGGTTGTTCCTGTGCTAAACAGCAGTGTTAAGTATAGCTGTATTTTTGAATCTAATTATAGTTCTTGAATTTGTCTCTTTGCTTGCTTGAAGACTTAAAGTTCATTGGTTTGTGGAACTTGGCTTCAATTTATGCTAGTCATAATTTGTCAGAAGTTGAGTTATTCAAGTCAGTTTTTTGTTTGTAGCCCTAAAACTCAAACTATTTTTTTTTTCTCTTTGGTTGCAGTAAATGTGCCACTTCGTGATTATCAGTTTTCTATAACAAAGACAGCACTTTTTTCGAATACATTGGTTGCATTGCCGACGGGACTTGGGAAGACACTTATTGCTGCAGTCGTGATGTTTAATTATTTCAGATGGTTTCCTGAGGGTAATATGATTCGACTACTATTCTTCAACACATGACTGTCTGGTTATTGATCCATATATTTTGAAAGTTTTAAGTTCACATGCTCATGAAGAGGATGAGGGTGGGGGCAAAAAGGATTTGCGTTCACCATGCCTTTCCTTGGGCAAATGACTGATCACCAACCAATTTCAAGAAGTAAACATTTAAGGTGTTACTCGGAAAATTTTCATGCTTGGTCATATTGTTTGATAATATTGCTTGCCAGAATTACATTTTAAATTGTCCCTAAGATCGAACTAGTCCAACTGGTTGAATCGGCCGGTCAGGTTTTTAAAACATAGCTTACAATAGGCATCATTATCCATTTCTTGCAATTCTTTTTTCCATGATAGGGAAAATAGTCTTCACTGCTCCTTCTCGTCCACTTGTGATACAACAAATAGAAGCATGCCATAATGTCGTCGGAATACCACAGGTTAGATTCTCCTTTTACTCTCCGCGAGACTCGCTGTTACAGCCTTGTCAATGTCTTATTCATATAAAAAATATTGCAGGAATGGACGATCGACATGACTGGCCAGATGAGCCCTGATAAAAGAGTTCACTTTTGGAAGAGTAAACGAGTATTTTTTGTTACTCCTCAAGTGCTAGAGAAAGATATTCAATCTGGTGTGTCTCTGAAAGCTGCTATCACATACCATTTTTGGGATTGATGCTGATGAGGGAGATGTTTATAGTTTATCAAGCTGGCACAATGACCTATCAGGATTCTACGGAATAGAGTCGTCAGTAGAATTGGTCATATTTTGCAGTAATTCTTAAAGTGAGATCATAGCTAGCAAAGTATCTTTATTGTGGGGTTGAAACTTTGGATCCCATTTGCTCACCTAGCTTTCATCTCTCAGTGTCAGTGTCAATATTTCCATGATTTGAGGAATGTGCATATTAGTAGCATATTAGTACTTTAAATTCAGTTTGTGAAAGAAATGGTAATATAGATGCAAAATTCTTAAGACATCCACCTTAAGCCACATAAGTTGAAGCCAATAGGGAATCCATCCTCTCTTGAAGCTCTTACGTCGAGTGGAAGTGGAACAGGGTTATTGTCTAAAATTGGTTTTATAATGAGTCTTTGTTAAAGCTACTTTTCTAGTCATCCAAATGAGAATTAATGGATCTCTAACATTGAAGTGTATAGACAAAATTAGTAAGTGCCCTGACAGGGTTAGATTACTCATATTATGAATGAATGAAGTAGAAGGAATCAATGGTGCCGTTGAAGTAAAGCCCAAGATTATAAGTGATGCTTATAAGCTGGAGGGAATAAATTAATAGCAGGTATATTGCATGCTTGTACAAGCTTTGCAATTTAGCCGTCAGATTCACTTTCTTTTTAACATTTGAAGTAGCAAAGTTCATAAATACCATTTTAATGGATGTTCATTTTTTAAAATAAAAGTGTTTTACATTGTGGAAGGCCATTAAAAGGACATATATAATTATCATTTGCATGTAATAGCTTTACTTTTGGAGTCATGGTGCTGGAGTTTCTGATCTACCATTTCGCATATGATGGTTGTCTGCATTAAACTCACATACTCTTAAAGTGCGTGTAACATGTCATATGCCATTTCTATGCCTAGTGTGTAAAATGATGATGGCAAGATTGTTCCTTCTGCATTTTAGATGATGCCTATATAAACTTTTAGGAACTTTTGTGCCTGCATATCTTAATTGGATAATATTTTGATTATTAATTCTTAGGTTGTTAGATTTTTCAGTTTCTGTTGTTGAAATTTATCTTGCTAATAAGTTGAGTTTTTGCAGGAACATGTTTAATGAGACATCTCGTCTGCCTGGTGATTGACGAGGCCCATCGAGCCATGGGAAACTACTCGTATTGTGTTGTTGTTAGAGAGGTTAGTCTTCCTTTCTTCTGGTTTTTTTATGAAGGAATTGTTATTATCTTTTCCAAGAGATATGTGTACATGTATTCTGTTCAAGAGTGCATTTACGTTCATCTTTGGTGAAAGGATATAAGGCTTGTATTCAAATTTTCCAGTTGATAGCCCGAGCTGTGCACCTGAGGATATTAGCTTTAACAGCGACACCAGGATGTAAGTATTGTGACTACTGTTTACATATGTTTTAGAATGTTCAATAGGTTACTCATATTCTTACATAAGGTAATTGCAGCAAAGCACCAGACCATTCAGCATGTAATTGACAATTTGATCATATCAACCCTCGAATATCGCAACGAAAGTGACCCTGATGTCAGCCAATATGTTCATGACAGAAAACTAGAGTTGATTGAGGTATATAATTTACTGTCTGTCATTTTTGTCTATTCTTGAAAGTATGTGTGTTGACTTATACTTTCTTTAATGCCACCAGGTAGCTATGGGCAAAGAAGCTATCGAAATAAATGATTTGCTTTTGAATGTCATCCGCATCTATGCAGCTCGACTTAATGCGATGGGCATACTGCTGAATCGGGATTATCAAGCTGTATGATTCCATCTGCTTTACATGTCCATAGACACCTTATGAGATAACAAAAATTCAAATTTCATATATTGCTCCATTTTTGTGTTTCCAATGTTTGACTTTATACCCAGTTGAACTTTATTGGGGGTACAGATTGTGAACATGCTGGCACACCATCGAAATCCCATGGCGAAAATCCTGGAAGAATGCATTGAATATATGATTGATAACATAACTAAGATCTGTATAACAATGGTGTCCAAGATCTAGTCCTTTTGTGTTGCTTTTAAGATATTTGCTATGTAGAACACTACGTCGTAAGATTTTAAATTCATGTTTTTCTTGCTGGAGTTTTACTCTATATCTTATGTGATTTCTATTTTAAGATGGATTTTACACAACTATTATTCTCTAGAGTCTGTTTGGAGAAAAAATGAATCATATCTCATTGAGGGAGATATGGTTTAGGACATCTTGTTAACTCTTTTATGCTACTCTTAGATTGCCCAGAAGTTACAGATATTTGATAAAATATTACTAAAACTTATGTTCTGTGGAGTTGCGATAACTAGTGGGGTGTTTATGCTAAGTGATAAAAGTATATCATCGTCCTTAGTGCTTGTTATGGAAGTATTGAACGGCTGAACATGATGAATGAGTCTTGTCTTGCAAATGATGATGGCTGTTATGCTGGAACAGAGGGTTCCTGACCATTATCCTTTTGGATCGAATGGTGGCCCTTCTGCTCTCAGATAAGGTATCATTGATTAGGTTCTGATTGCTTGCTCTAATAAGTTGTACATGATAGATTTCTGGAAAGTATGCCTCGGAAAGTGCAGAAAAAATGTACTTCTGCTTATAAAAATTTCAGTCGCAATTTTTTTTCCCTTCTGTGTGGGTTACATTGGATTTTGTCCTGTGTGTTGACCGGCTCATCGTTTGCTTTTCCCTAGTTACTGTCATTCTTCATCATTCCCCGACATGCACTTGAAAATCATCTTTTAAACTTTCGCAGT